TTAATATAACCCCAATGGATCATATTTTTGTGAAAGATTGGTATTTTTGTCCTGATTTGTAGGAATCTGAAAAACGCGTTTCACAACTTGTCTCTTATTTAGTTTTATGCGTCATTCAAGATGGCGGCCCCCATGTAGTAAATATCGTATTTATTTTATTATCACGTGTGCGCCAGCTGACTGTGGATGTAATGGTCTATTTATAGACAGTGGGGGTATATATAGGGGAGTTGTTCAGCACTGAGTTCAGATCGGAGATCTCGTTGAATTGTATTGTTGTTTTATTTGAAATTGTTATCGTATTCCTATTATTGACGTCGTTGCTAGTCATGTAATAGTATATGTTATAATATTCTTGAAAGGGGAGGCATGTCACATACGACTTATTTACCACTTCCATGTCACTGAGAATGTTCTAGAACCATACTGTGTCTGGGTGAATATTCTAGATTTTTTTTAGAAACTGGTTGAATAAGTAATAGAACACTGTAGGAGGCAATAGAAGGTAATGGAACATTCCAGAAATTTGTAGTAAGTGCCAGACTCATTATGTATGCTGATGTAATGGTCTATTTATAGACAGTGGGGGTATATATAGGGAAGTTGTTCAGCACTGAGTTCAGATCGAAGATCTCGTTGAATTGTATTGGAGTTTAAGTATCTAGTTATTGGAGTAGCGGAGTTTTACCGCGTTATTGTACTTGATGTTTGCAGAGTATAATAATACCAGTACCAGTTGAAACCTCCTCTGTTGGCTTCGTGTTCGTATGTTATCATCGCCAGGGAAGTCTTTCTGTTACTGTTGCCATTTTGATATTTGAACCATCACACCTGTACTATACCAATTACGGTAATATTACGTTGCGTGTGACAATGCGCATATGTGAATTAAAGATGATGATGATTTAGAATCATTTAGTATACAACAAATGTTTTTTTTTTCGATATTTTTTATGCACTTCTATAAAGCAAATATATACCATTTTACCACTTTACATCAGACTTCCATCGCAGTGTTTAATAATTAATAATTGTATATTTCAGGTGCGATTAAAAGTGTTGCCATCACAGCTGACAGTAAATATTTTGCCAGTGCTGCCTTTGATCACAAAGTACTAATATGGAAAACAAGATCAGCTAAAGTTGTACATGAGTTGAAAGGTTTGTCAATAACAGTTTTGGCTGCTTAGTTGGGAGAGGGTAGACGGGTGCCAATTGATGTAAACCAAGTGGACAGAGGTGTCTACAATGTTTGAAGGGCGGTAGTCATCGCGGCGCGTATGTGTGACATTTGTGTTGATAAACACTGATTTTCCCACAATCCAATGCGCCCTTCTAAAGGAAATCACAAGTATGACAAGTATGATGTTCGCTGCGCTGACTCTTTCACTGCCTTCCAATCACCTAAAAATACCTAATTAAAGCTTGGTAACGCCTCAGTTTGTACTCGTTGATCTGCGCAACAGTCAAAGTCGCCATCTTTGTTTATATGAGACAAATATATCTTGCGCATACGTGGCACGACGACTACCGCCCTTTAAAGCTGGTAACAATCACACCTATATTTAGAAGAAATTCATCAGTAACTTAGTAAAACAATTACAGAAGTGTATGGACATCTGAGATCACATTTTCTTTTAAAGTTCTATTGTAACGATTGTTGATTGTTGATTTTTTTTTTTAATTATGAATCACAGATGTATGTATTTTGCCCAATTTCCAATCAAATCTGGCCACCAAAGTTTAACACTACCTGGATATCATTAAGTCATTGTTTTTATGGAAACCTGTCTGGTTCCCTGTTTTTTATTTTATAATGTCATTTATTTTTTTATTGATGGACCCTTTGAGCAAAATTTCAAGAATTTGTACTAGTGCTTTTAAAAAAGTTCACATTATGGAGCTGTTCATGTAGATGATTGTTCGTGTCTGTCCATCAACATTGACTTCTTGAAAACTATCTGTCTGATTATTTTGATACTTTGTATGTAGATACCTTGGATAGACTTCTGTCAGATTTGTTCATTTTGTGATGCCGTCTCCAATTCTCTATTTTTAGCGATTATTTTTGTCATGTTTAGTAAAAAATGCTATTTTTGATGACTTCTTGAAAACTACCTGCACACTGGCTTTGATACTTGGTATGTAGGTATCATAAGGGTATCTCTATGAGATTTGTAACCAGATGATAACAATTGTAATTGCCATGGCAACAATCATATAAACTATCATTTTTTGTTATATACTTGTAGCAAGAACATTTCATTTTAACAGAACATTATCAACTTTGTTTTAATAAAGACAACAGAGCTATTTCAGCCATGGGGTAGCTTGTTACTAGGTTGCCATGATCG